AATTATAATTATATTTAATTAATTTATATTAAGATAATATAGCTAATGTATATTTTGTCATGAATATAAACAAAAAACTGTATTGATTTCAACTGTTATAGAGCAAACATCCTGAAATTTTAAAAAAATTTGATGGATTAAGAAGTGTCACATCTGACAATATGACAAATAACGACTGCAGTGAAAGTCCACCTAAAAAAAGTAAAATAGATAAATTACTACAGCCAAATCAACCAAATCTTGAGGATTGTTTAAACAAGAAATATACTAGTCAAGGTAAGTGTGTCAAAATTTTATATTAGAGAAATAAAAGGTTGTACCTAAATATACACTAAATAAATTCTGAAATTTATTTAACAATTTATAAATTTACTATTTAAATTATTGCCTGGTTATGAATTATTATTTTTGAGCAACAGAAACATAGTATGTTATTAATATGATGCCTAATTAATTGAAAAAAATATTTAATTTAAAATATATTTAAAACTTATTTGTAATTAAAAATGTTATGGTTATTTTTTGCAGTTTGTAATACATTAAATGTGTATTGATGTATGACTTTTAATATTATAAATTTATTTAATGCATTTAATGGTTATTACTATTAAAAAGTATTGTGAAATAATTTTTTTTATTATTATTTTATCTATTTATAATGGTATAATTATATTAATGTTTTACTTTTTCATTATTTTTTAGCAACATTGGACCAACTTTTATTACGTTTCATTGTTAATGGAGGGTTGCCATTTACCATTATTGAAAATTCGATATTAAAAGATATAATCGAAAGAGGATTTCCAAAAAAATCCATTATGTCTCGACCTACTCTCATGCAAAGAATTACTGAAAATTGTAATTTATTGAAAAATCAACTCAAAACCCAAATGTCCAAATTAGCTTATATAGCTACAACAGCTGATGCATGGTCAATATATAAAAAGTGTGTTAATGAGTTTTCATATTATGTAACATAATATAAACATATTATTAAGATATTAAATCTTGGTGAACCAAAAATGATTTTCCTTTTATCTAATTATTTTTTTTTTAAATTAACACTTACTGAGTAAAAATGTATGTGATTTTAAGATTACAATTATTATTTTTTTAATTTGTGTGTTTATTGTTTATAGGTCATACATTGGCATCACTGCCACTTGGATAAATGAAGATAATTCCAGAACTAATTGTTTACTAGCTCTGAAAAGGCTTGAAGGCAGTCATACTTATGACATTTTGGCAAAATGTATGGACAGTATTTATACAAGTTATGAAATATCTGATAAAGTTCATTTTTGTACAACAGATAATGGCTCTAATTTTGTTAAATGTTTCAGGTATCATAAAATTTAAAAAAAAATTATTTTCTTATAAATTTTAATAATTAAATAAATATAGAGAATTTAATCATATTTTGGATGAAAAGGATGCTAAGAGTCTAATTGATTCACCCAGTAATTTGTCTGAAATAGATGATGATACAACTGAAATTATTAATGTATTTGATATGGAAAATGAAAATAATTTTGAGTTGCTTTACATACTACCAAAGCATCATAGATGTTCAGCTCACACACTCAATTTAATTGCAACAGCAGTAACTAATTTTGATTATTAAATAAATAATGAAAAAATTTGGGTCATGGAATATGTTTATTAAGTTTTTAAAATAAAAAAAAAATTGTTTTTTAGTTAAAATTTTTATGAAAATACTGTAATTTTAAAAATACTCCTACAGTAACTATTATATTGAGATTTAGAGAAGAACTAATGGAAAATTTTAAATTGGTATTAAAAAACCGTTTGGTAATTAAAAAAAATTTAATAAATATTCCATGAGCATGTTTTATTGAACTATGTAAACACTAATCCAACAAAATGTT